GTTAAAGTATACAAAGTCCAGTAAGAGGTGCTGTTGGGTATTATAGCACATGCCTAATATATCACTTTTCTTAACAATAACAAAATCCTTATTGTCAAGTTTATGACAAGTGTGGATAAACATATGAACAAAAAAAAAATGCTGCAAATTATTTCCAAAAATTATACATCTAAAGTAGCATTACCTTCCTAGTTACAAAGAAAAATAAATAAAAGATGATTCCAATTATTGGACTAAACTTGTTTCTTTAATCATTAGTAATATGCTAAAAATAAAAATAGCATTACTTCATTAAAATATTAAAACTTTAAAAACCAAACAAAGGATATAACATTTGGAGTAGAACATAAAAACAAAAAACTGGAGACCATATCTCTGTTCCGAATTGTCCGATTTTGTTTAGGAGCTACAGTCTATAGCAACACAGATTTTTCGGCCGCCATTTTGAAAGTAAAAGGCGGATGGTAATGTCGATGAAGGAGGATCATCCTCGGGTGACCTCTGATTTTATACCCAAATTTGAAAAAATTCGGTGCAATAGTTTCGGAGAAAATGCGCAGACGGCGCACGGAGGACGGACAATAATTTTTTTATTTTGAGATGGGGTTAAGTTTTTGAATTTTTTGGTCGATCATAATGGTTGATTATTGAAAATAATAAACCAAAAAAAAAAAATATGGTGGTTGCTTAAGACCACACGATAGAAGTGTAAACACCAACCAGGAGATATTAATAATATGAAATATAAATTATCAATAATAGCTTAATATAAAGAGGATGAAATTCTGAATATTTCCCTCACTTACAGTATGCAAGTCCGACTTTTAGTTTCTGAGATATTTGTATTAATATCTCCAATAAAACTCGTCATCATTCTGTTTTTAACACAATTTATTCCTTTTTCGCTTCTCTAACACGGCGTTAAGATACGATTTTGAATAATAGCTCTTTATAAAAAGGATGAAATGATGAACATTTCTCTCGCTTACAATACAGGTCCGATTTTTAGTTTTTGTGATGTTTTAATCCAAATGAAAAAACGCTGCAAATTATTTCACAATGGTTTATTATTTCCAAACAATTATACATCTAAAGTAACCTTAACTTCCTAGTTACAATGAAAAATACATAAAAGGTGATTCCAATTATTGGACTGAACTTTCTTTTTTTTAATCATTAGTAATATGCTAAAAAAAATAGCATTACTTCAGTAACACAATCAAAATTTAAAAACCAAACAAAGGATATAACATTTGGAGGAGAACATATTAAAAAAAAACCGGAGACCATATCTTTGCTCCTAATTATCCGTTTATAACGATTTCTTTTTTTTTTTTTTTTTTTGAGGAAATTTCGTAAACTTTTAAAAAACCATTTGCTTTCGATGAAACTTCTTTCATTTTTTAAGAAATTTAAGTACCTTTGAAACATCTTATAACAATATCTCTAAAAAAGTGTAAAGTTTTTGAGTTTTTCGGAATTTAATTTTACCATCCCTCATAACTTTTTTTCCAGCTTCTTTTCGTTGAAGTATATTATATTGATAAATTTAAAGGGCGTGGAGAAAACGACTTTAGCAAAGTTTCATTGAAATCGGTGCATTCGTTTAGGAGCTGCAGCCTATAGCAACGCAGGTTTTTCGGCCCCAATTTTAAAAGTAAAAGGCGGATAGTAATGTCGATGAAGGAGGATCATCCTCGGATGACCTCTGATTTTATATTAAAATTTGAAAAAAAATCGGTCCTGTAGTTTCGGAGAAAATGCGCAGACGGCGGACGGCGGACGGACAAAAAATTTTTTTTGTTTTTCGAATTCTACGCATCCTGAAACGTGAAAACTCAAATTTTGATAGGGGTTAAGTTTTTAAATTTATTGGTAGATCACCAATGGTTGATTATTGAAAATAATAACAAACAAAAAAAACTATGGTAGGTGCTTAAGACTACACGATAGAAGTGAAAACATCAACATTATGAAATATGAATTATCAATAATACCTCATTATTGAGAGGATGAAATGGTGAATACTTCCCTCCCATACAGTATGCAGGTCCGACTTTTAGTTTCTGAGATATTTTTATTAATATCTTCAATGAAACTCATTATCATTCGGTTTTAACACAATTTATTCCTTTTTCGCTTCTCTAACACGGCGGTAAGATACGATTTTGAATAATAGCTCGTTATAAAAAAGATGAAATGATGAACATTTCTCTCTCTAACAATATATTTCCGATTTTTAAATTTTGTGATGTTTCAATCAAAATGAAAAAAACACTTCAATAAGTCACCTGGAGTCGGACTTTACCCGAGCGTTCACATCTAACGGCTCAATAAAATGCAAAAAAAGGCACCTAAAGAAGTTTTGACTTCCAAAATGTCATTATTTCAATTTGTAAGAGACCAACCTTTCCGAATTTTCAGATCACTATTAGATCTTAGAAGTCTCATTACCATTTTGAAATTTAAATTCTTATTTACTGTTCTATTAAGGCTAAAGTTCTAAGGCTTACGATTCTATTGACCGCCAGAAACTGTATAATATTCTAATCGAGCAGGGAATTCCAAAAAAACTAGTAAATCTAGTCAGGATGTGCTTGACGGAGACACTCAATAAAGTCAGAATCGGTAATAATTTGTCCGAAAAATTTGAGGTTCGTTCGGGCTTAAAACAGGGGGATTCTCTTTCGCCTGTCCTGTTCAATTTGGCATTAGAACATGCCATTAGGGAGGTAATGCGTACCGAGAAAGGGTTGGATCTGGGCGGGACAACATCCGTGCTGGGCTATGCTGATGATCTGGTACTGTTAAGCGAAGACGTTGAAACTATAAAACTAAATACGACAACGTTAATGAAAGCCGGTAAAGAACTAGGACTCGAAATAAACGTGGATAAAACAAAATATATGGTTAGCTGCAAAAATGGCGATACTACTGGTGATATCGATATAGATGGTAATATGTTTGAACAGGTAGATAAATTTAGGTATCTAGGTTCTACGATAACTAGAAAAAAACGAAATTGAAGAAGAGATTAAAGTTAGACTGAAGGCGGGGAATGCTTGTTATTTTTCTGTGACAAAACTACTCAGTTCGCGCCTCTTGTCCCGAAACTTAAAAATTAGAATCTATAAAACAATAATCTTGCCTACAGTTCTTTATGGTGCGAAACTTGGCCGCTTACATTAAGGGATGAGCAGCGTCTTAAGGTTTTTGAAAATAAAGTATTGCGTAGAATATTCGGACCGAAGAAGGATGAGTTAACCGGAGAGTTTAGACGGTTACACAACGCCGAATTGCGTGAGCTATATCCGGGTAATATAATTGAGGTAATTTCATCGCGGCGAATCAAATGGGCTTGTAAAGTTGTTGGGCTTAGTAACGAGAGAATTCCTAAAAGGTTAATATTTGCTGTGCCGAATGGTAAGCGTCGGAGGGGTAGACCGAAGCGAAGGTGGGAAGATTGCATTAAAGCTGATCTGAAGGGACTGGGTTTGGACGGCGAACGGTGGAGGGAGGTGTGTAACAAGCGATTGGTGGTGTCGGCATCGAACCTTCGGGTTCTCTAAGCCTTATTATTATTATTATTATTATTATTATTATTATTTACTGTTCAAGATCGAAAAAAAAATCATTTCTTTGCCAGAGAAAGTGTGGAAAAAGTAGGAGTTAAAGAAACGTATGTCTGGAGGTTTAATATAATTTCTTTATTTCGCCGATATTTTATAACTAGCTGATGTACCCATTGTTGACGGGTGTATAGTTAATATTTGAGAATCTTTTTTTGAGATGGATATTATATTATAGGAGAGGAGTTAATTTCATAACATTGGGTGAGGCGAGAGAGGTAATTTTAATTTGTAGAAGATTTTCTTCCAATTTCCGACTAATCCGTTAGGTTAATCCTAAAAATGTATACGACAACATTTGTTAGGCTCGGGAAATTGAATAGAATGACACCTTGAACGGGAAGATCGAACAAAGTTATAAAATAAGTGTGTTTTAAGCGGCAAAGCGTTGCAAATATTTGGTATTTCGGATTTCCCCCGTTGAGTTGTGATAATTTTTTCCATCAGTTGAATAGTACAACTGTTAAATATGGCTTGCGGTAGAGTAGGTTGGGATGAGAATCGAAGTAACTGCCTAACCGGGATCTCTAGACAAATTACCCAAGAATTCATAACTTGGTTCTACTCAATATTTTGTTTTCATTTAAAGCCTATGTTTTAAGTCAAGTAAACCTTAATATAATGTCAAAATTTCAAGTCTACAATAAGCCATTGCAGAGCTTACTCCTGACAAAATTTCGTTACAATGCGGACATACAGACAGACAAAAAATGTTTTAAAAGTGGATTTGGTGTCTGTAATGTATAAAACGGAAAGATATCATGAAACGGGTTGATTCTATTCAATATATAGACAAAACCTTTATTTTATTTATAAAGATGTTCTTTAACCTATAAACATATGTTTATTATTAAGATTTATTATCAACATCGACCGAGATATCTAGACAAATTACTCAAGAATTCATAACTTCGGTTATACTGAATATTTTGTTTTCATTTAAAGCCTATGTTTTAAGCCAAGTAAACCTAAATATAATGTCAACATTTCAAAAGTCTACAACAAGCCATTGCTGAGCTTATCCCTTACAAAATTTCGTTGCAATGTGGACATACAGACAGGCAACAATTTTTTCTATTCAATGTGCAGACAAAATCTTTATTTTATTTATATAGATTTTCACTGGATCTTTATACCTTTGCAGACTAAAATATCTGGTTTTTCTGGTTAGTTCTGAAACCCTCTGAAAGATCTTGTTTGGTTCCTCCAGTGAGATGAAAAGTAGAAGTGCTACGCAATAACATATATTTTGGAAAACTCTGGGTCAGTGTGCAATATTTTCCCACAAACAATATTTATTATTTTTAATATGTTTGCATTGCATTGTTTAAAATAATAATGATATAATTGTTGTTGTTGGTTCTTTTGCAGATGCGATTGCTAGCAGTGGTCCTGCTGCTTTGCGCGTGCGCCGTCCGTGCCGAAGAGGGTCGACAGGTGCCGCAGACGATGCGCACGCAGCTCAAGGTGGGGCGCTCCCTGGGACCTACCGAGACTGTGACGGTGCGCACCCGCGAAGGCGGCACGGCGAGGCTGGTGGTGGCGCAGCGCACGGGGCGCAGGGTGGGCGACCTCCCGCCCCCTCCGAACCCGGCCAACCGCCCCGTGGAGGCGCGCGCCATCCCCGTGCCGCCCCCGGTCGACGTCAGGTCCGAGATCTACGTCAAGCCCGAGATGAGGAACAGGTATGGAAAGAAGTCGTTACTATTATATATCATATTATTATATTTCTTCTTCTTCTTGCTCCTGTTGCCTATCTGCGTACTTATGAACCTTATGGCGCATCCAGGACCAGGATCTCCTGCTTCTTAGCAATCCTCCCGAGTAATCCCTATTACTCCAGGTCGTCCTACTGGTCTTCGCCTTTCTGGTCTGGCTTTCATGTATCATTTCATCTTTCAGGTGTCAGGCATTTTGAACACATGTTTTCTAGTAGCTTTGTTTTTGACTCAGTCCCTTTTCGTTTACGACTATTTTCTTAAGAAATGCTCTGCTCCACTTACCAAGCGAGGCAAGAATATGGTCTTAAAGATTTTCTTAAAGAGTTAGGATTCTCTCCATTCCCACTCGCCGATGGCGCTAAGGTTTGCAAAGAACCCTGGCCTACTCCACAATCCCCCTCCACTCCATCCCGTCCTTAGCCATCCTCCTTTTTCATCACTCCAAGCGTAAGGTTCATTCGTCATCTTTCTGCCGCTCAACCTTAGCAGCTTTCAGTTTCCTCCTGAATGTACCGTCATAAACATCTTTTGAGTTATACTTTCTGTCATTCTATGCACCTGACCAAACTTGAAAACGATGTCATGCCCAAAATTGTCTCCACCATTAAGAAAAATAGGTTAAGATTACTTTTCTTAATGATGGAGACAGTATCAGGGGAGTCATATCGTCATTTCGCAGGAACCAATTTAAAGTAACGAATGTGAACCTGCTCAACGTTGTAGATCCGTTACTTTAACACGGAGCCGTTGATATAATTACATCAACTCCTGATTGGTTCCCATCTCCTCTTCCAGATGGCCTTCGACGTTGTCTCTTGCCTACTATTAATTAATTAATTATTATGTGGAGCCTTCTGATTGATTAATTGGAGCTACATGTCCCGCACATCCAACTTCCTCGCCTTCATATCATAAGATATTGATTGATCAGTTTCTGTAAGCAATTCTTTATAGGTATTTCTCCTTCGTGCATTAGTTCTCTTATCCCAGACAGCTCTCTTCAACCAGCTGAGAATTTTTCTCTCAAATATTTCTTTCTAGGCTGCTGGTTAGTCTTTAAGCCTCCAGCAGAATATAATAACCTAGTTAAATCAAGGGATTGTACACATTTAATATGAAATTTCTTGATATTTTTCGAGATTTTAATAACTTTGAAATAGATAAGAATGCCTTGTTTGCGCATGTTATACGATGGGTTATTTCCGATAGTGAACATTCATTCAGGTTATTGTATAGCCGATGAAAGAATTTATTTTTACGAAGATCCTGTTTTTGAGGTGAAATTTTCGGCTTATTTCCTTATATTTTGTTCATGTATATTTACTTGCATATATATTTATGTAAAATATAATCTAGGGCTAGGAGCTTGGAAATGGAAGACGGGATACCCGTCGTGACAGGAGTACGAGTCCCCGACTCCCCGGAGGACAGGTTCCACGTCTGGAGGAACGCCCGGGTCATCAACAACGTCCTTCAGGACAACCCGGCCGCAGCCAGCGGCAACCAGCTGGACGCGGTGGTCACCCCTTCCCCTCAGGTAGGCCCTGGCAAGTACGAGTGGCTGAAGATGGAACCTATAAGGAAGCCGACAGAAGCGACCCTTCCGGAATTCATCCTGGCAGCTAATAGGGAAGAGACTTCAAGGCTCCGTGACGGAAGAAGGCTCTCAGGTAATGTTTTCTTTTCTTTTAATTTTAAGAACAATCTCCCCGAAAAGGGTTCTATATACCAATCCGGATGGAATATTTTTATCATTAGAAGTCGTAGTAAGGTTAAGACAATCCTGATGGAGGCCGCAACAGTTTTTACATTTAGCTGTTCCTATTTTTATTTGATAGGAAATACATATATTTGAAAACGAAACAAAAGATTTGAGTACGATTTATTTGATAAACTAAAGCAATATAAACCGGATTAAGGTAGATCAGTGTAAAAATTTCAATACTCACTAATATTGCTGATCAAAAACTTTTTGCCATAGCTTAGTATTGTCAAACGATAATTTCTGTTAAGAGTAGAGGAAATAGTGAAAATTGGGTGATGCGGGCAACAGATTTTCTTACTTTCACTTAGTCATCTTTATTCTCTCATTCACCCCTTTCTGACACCAGGATATGAACTCGTAATCTTTCATTGGAAATTGAATAGCTGTAACTTCGTTATTAGTTGTCCAAAATGAACGATTTTTATATGGCTTTGTTGGGAATTTCATTACCTTTCAAACGACGGCGTACTTCAGTATAGTTCCGTCTAAAACCGCATGTCGGAAATTTGACCCGATTGCAATACTTTCCTTACCTAGTGTAGGTAGCAAAGTATTAATTAAATATTTATTAATCCTAGCACTAAATTAATAAACATGGTGCAAAAACGTTTGGAAGCCGCACCTTGCTCACGGCCTCCGAGACTGCAACGTATATTATATACTATAAGCACATACTTCGCAGGAGGGCATAGTAAAAATATTGAGGGGGTGAGAATATCGTTTCGCCTGCCATCCAATAATTTAAAGGAAGTTTAAAGAAAAAAATAATTAAAATTCATAGACCATGAACTAAAATGTTTTTAGTAACCGTATAATATTTTATTTTTAAATCTCAACAAATTAAAATGCTAGGATAAAGACTTTTTTCTTACAATATATAGAAAAAAAAATTATTTTTTCATTTTGGGAGATGGCTTCAGCAAAACTCCTCCCACAAAAATATGATTTTATTTTTTATAGAGCTTGTGCCGATATATTTTTTTTTAAGCCTTGTTGTTACTTTAATCATCTCCAAAATCATTGTCTTGAGTTTCGGCGATGGCATTCGAAAATGTTCTCATACCACATCCAAACTAAAGTTATTTGTAATTCTGAATGTTTTTCTTCAAGATATAATGGTCTGTTGACTGGCACAATCCTTATCAGTTGTAAAAACCAGTCACTTAACATTATACAGTAATACTATTTTTAATATTTTGATATTACAAGCGAACTTAGATTTGTACTTATAGTCCAAGAAAATATTAATTAAATCATATGATTTGTACTAATAACCATCTTTAAGCAGACCCTACACGGTAATTCATGAATGAACGTCACAAGAAGTTCCAAGATTGCCCGCGATCGCTTTGATAATGAAGACCCTTACACGTTCAATCATTACTGATCATTACTTATGTGAAGTTTCCACTTTTTTTCTCTCCAATTTATTTTCTACTTGACTTTTTAAAGAAAAAATAATTGAAAATGGTTAATAATAACATAGACTTATAGTTAATAATAACAACTATTTACTTTTATGAAATTATTTACTTAATAACGAGACTTAGGTAAACTAACCTATCTCGTAGTTAGGTTAGTCTCATAGAAAACCTAACCTAACCTATTACTTCTCGTGAATGAACCTTTGATTTGCGGATGTTCGGAAATCCGCAGCGCACCGCCATCAGTACTTCATTCACTACCTTACACGACAATTCGGAACGTCATTAGTGCAATTCCGATTGACCGTGTAGGGTCCCCTTTATGAAACAGTGCAGCTTGTACTTTTAACTTGAATTTTGTAGTTTTGTACTAGGTTATTATGACATGAAATTGTTATCATGACACGAATGCAAACTACTAGTACGATAGTATTACTATTTACTAGTAAGTATATCTACTGATGACTATAAGTTCGGATAGGTTTTTCTTTCTTCTAAACGGTGGTAGAGAACACACACTTGTTCAATGGATAGAGCCTGTTTTTAAATTATTCTTTTCAAAACTAACCTCTCTAAAAATAACCTAGCTACTGAATGAATTTTTTTTTCTTATCAATCCATAAAATAACAATTATTAGAACTTATACTTTTTGGTTTTGTACATTTGTACTTTTTACTAATAATATTAGCTTGATTATGAAATAGGCCCCTGAAATACAGAATACATGTAAATTACAGTTATACAATTTGAGCAACGAGTAATATAATTAAAAGAACAGTTGTATTATTTGAAAAATGGGGGTTGGACAGAGTGTTGTATTTTATCTAGTTGTATTTTAAAACATATTTTTCACCGTATTCCAGATACGTGGTCACTTGTTAGGCCCCGATATGGTGTATGAGATATCCTGAGGGAGTATAAATCGATTGTGTGTATCGAATGTGGAAAAAGTAGAGTTTCCACTGTTGTTGAGTTGGCCAGGGTCAGATCAGAAAGTGCACCCTTTCAGAGCTAATGCGTCAGCGAAAGGTTTCGACATTTTTTATAGAAATTTCTTTTTGATCCTCAAGGAAATCCTGATGGTTAACCAGAGGCTTTGCGTGAGCGACCGAACCTAGGAAAACGCTGGAAAAACCTAATAAAATATTTATGAACATGGCGATGTTTCCATATGTGTTCCATTATCTCATGCATTTCTTTTTACTTCTGATAGATAATACACTAATTATTGGCGTAGCAAGAATTACTGAGCCCAGATCATAATCTGAAATAAAGCATCTTTGTCTCATAGGAATACGTCATATGCAAAGACAATAAATAGCATTTCGTTCAATTAAAGTAAATAAGAAAAAAAAAATTTGTTTTATTACAGTGTCCTATAAGTACCTTCAATTCTTCTTTATTTGTTGTATAAGGTTGATTTATTTTGTTATATAAATGGGCATTTATGCTCTATTATAAATGCCTTCCTCCATCTCTCAGGAAGTCTGTTATACCCTTTTTCCAAAATTGGCGTGGCACAAAATATTCATTTCGAGAATCGTTTTGATTTCACTCTCAGATTTTTGCCATTTATTATAGTATAGAAACTATGAAACATAAATAAAGGCCCCCCTCACTTAGAGTTTCCCACACGGGCTCTCAACCCTTGCGCGCAATAAATTAAGGCAATATTACCTGACTCGATACTACAATAACCTAACAGCTATTGTGACCTGGAATATATTTACGATGGAAAACAAATCGTAACTATAGCAACCCTTTCGCGAAGGCAATTCGGGTGTAGAGTTACGACTCATAATCGATACTTATTTCGACTAATTCAATCGCTCATTTTTTAAGTGAATCCTAATCGATTTTTTCGGGAATAGAGATAAGAATCTATTTCCATGTGAATATATACAACTTTTTTTTTCAAAAAGATTCCTTTTCTTTATTTATTCAATTGTTTATTGAGAAATACTGCAATCTGTCACATCTAAGGACACTAGTAACAGTACATGGAAGAGTAGCTCATTCACAATATGTTCAATAAATAAATATAAATAAAGAGGAAGATAATATTAATAATAATAAGAGGCTTATAGAACCCGAAGGTTCTATGCCGACATCACCAATCGCTTATTATAAACCTCCCTCCACCGTTCGCCGTCCAAACCCTTCAGATCGGCTTTAACGCAATCTTCCCACCTTCGCTTCGGTCTACTCCTCGGACCTTTACCATTCGGTACAGCTTTTAGGATATTAACCTTTTAGGAATTCTTTCGTGTATTCGTATTATAATAGTAGTTACAAGTAATAATTGAATGGGGAGTTCGGAGGGTGAGGTAGAAAGCCCCAATCATACAGTAAGATTTTATGTCTCACGGATAATGCTGCATGCCGATTAAAATTTTCATAATTTGTTTCCACCTCTACCTTACCTCTATACTATACAGAGATTTTTCCGGTGCAGATGAAACTATGGCAGATTAATACAAGAGTTAAAAGCCCTCCTGGCACGGCGACGCGAACTCTTAACTATTTTTTTCTTAGAAACGTCGGTTTATTAATCATCTAATTGCCAGATAACAGTGTTGTTTTGCATACGTGTTAGTCCGCTCGGCCACCCCGATTTCATGTTCTTACAAACTAGGTTGCGACATCAAAACTAATGTTACATGACTAAGTTCTAATTATGGAATTGTTTGTGTAGAATTTGGTACCAACCAGATACTCCTCTTGGCATAAACTTAGTTAAAAGAATAGTAAAACGGACAGTAATAATTAATTAAACAAAAAGTGGCAGGACACTGGGAAAAATACCTTGCATTATAGGACGTAAGATGTGCTTTTTGCCAAAATTGACAACCCCTTTCTAAAAGAGCGAAATTTTTTTTATTTTTTTATTTTTATTTTTTATTGAATAATAATACAATCAGCCACTGTTGGAGGGCTATAAGTATTAAGGCTAAAAGTTCTCATTCATACAGTATATACAAGTAATACAGAAGTAACTATAAATATAAAAAGTAAATAAATAATACTTATAAAAAAAATGTAAATCAATAGAAAAAAAATAAAAATAAAATAAAAAAAATAAATAAACAAAATAAAATAAAAACTTCTAAACACATTCATACCTATATACAATATATACATTCGCCCAGGAATCTCCGAGCCAGGCTTTTCTCCCCACATGTGGAAAGCAAAGCAGGACTCCAGAGATCCCAGTGCCACTTTTCCAGCCGCATCACTAGTATTAAAAGCCAGTGGAGGCTGAAGGAGGGCACTAGAGCCACAGATGCTCAGGACTTGAGTGGAGAAGCTGGCCATTGCCAGGACTCCAGAAGCATATTTACAATAGATCTCGCGGCCACTGCCGTTTTAACCTTCGAGGGGGATTGTAGGGATGGTGGGAGCTGGATAGGGATTGAGCTAGAGGATTTGGATGATGGATAAGGTTCTGGTGAAAGTTTGAGAATCTGGATGGGATGATGTCGAGGACAAAAGGGATGTTAAGGTCATGGTGTAGGGTCTTATTTGTGACATAATATGGGGCATTGGCTATTGTTCTAAGTACTTTGGACTGGAAGGATTGGATGCGTTTGATATTCGAATGTTTAGCAGTTCCCCACAGTTCAAGTCCGTAGGTCCAGATAGGTTTCAGTATTGTCTTGTAGATTAAAAGTTTATTTTCAATCGAAAGATGAGATGTCCTGCTTAGTAGTCTATATAGCTGGCCATATCGTTGGTTAAGTTCTTGTCTTTTAAGTCTCGTATGTGGGTTCCAAGTTAGTCTTTTGTCTAGAAGGAAGCCAAGGTAACGGACTGTATCTGAGTAGGGAAGTGGTATTGAATTGAAAAGGATTGTGGGACAGGATCTGCGTCGCAGAGTGAAAGTAATATGTTTACATTTTGCTTCATTGATTTTAATGCGCCAGTCGTTGCACCACTGCTCAATCAAGGAGAGGTGAGATTGTAGGTTTTGAGATGCTATTTGAGGATCTGAGTGGGAGGATAGAATGGCAGTATCATCGGCAAATGTAGCTAGGAAGGTATCGGGATTTGGAGGGATATCGGCAGTGAAAAGGATGTAGAGAACTGGACCCAAAACACTGCCTTGTGGAACACCAGCCTCAACTGGATAGTAAGTGGAGAATTCGGTGCAGCAACGGACTTGGAAGGAACGATTTGAGAGATAGGATTTGAGGACTAGGTATAAGGATTGGGGTAAATGGGTTTTGAGCTTGAAAAGCAAGCCATCGTGCCACACCCGGTCGAAAGCTTGCGCTACGTCCAGAAAGGCACCAGTGCAATATTGCTTGTTTTCAAGTGCAGAGGATATATGGTCCACAACACGAAGGCCTTGTTGGACAGTGGAATGTCTTGAGCGGAATCCAAATTGATGAGAAGGGATGTTGTGGGATTCGAGTATGGGTAGGATGCGTTTGAGGAGGATTTTCTCAAAGATTTTTGAGAGGATAGGGAGTAAACTTATCGGTCTGTAGGATGATGTGTTATTAACGGGTTTGCCTGGTTTTGGAAACAGCACGATTATGGAGTGTTTCCACATCAAGGGAAAGTTGGTAGTACGAAGGATGCAATTATATAGATAGGTCAGGAATATAATTGATTTTTTGGGAAGTTGTCTAAGGATTTGTGAAGTGAGGAGATCATATCCAGGGGATTTTCGGGGTTTTAATTTGTTTATGAGGAATTTGACCTCAGAGGGGTTAACAGGTTTTGGAGGTAGAGAGAGAGGAATTGGTGAAGAGAGGAATTCTTTAACTTCAGCAGTGTGGGTGGGATGGAGTTCGGGATGGGGAGTGAATGTGTAGGATAGATGTTTAGCAAACTCTTCAGCTCTATTCGCATCTGACGAAGCCCAGGAACCATCATCACGGCGGAGGGGGTGGGAAATGGATTGGACTTTAAGGATTTTTTTAGTTACAGTCCAGAGGGAGTTATCACTAGATGATAATGAGGAAAGGTAGGAATTGTAGGATTGGGTTCTAAAGATATCCAGTTTCTTTTTTACCTGTTTGGAATAATAATTATACGATTTCCGGTCATCAGGATGCCTGGTTCTTTGCCAGAGGGCCCTAGAGCATCGTTTGCTATGGATAAGGTCCAATAGGTCTTGGGGTAGAGGATTTATACTGAGGTGTTTTTTGGGACGATCAGGTGAGGATGCAGTCCAAACTGCTTGCTGGATCAGGGTAGTAAAGGAGTCCACTGCATCGTCAAGGTCTTCAGGTGTTTTTAAGGAAACTCTGAGGTCTATATTATCATCCAATATTTGACGGAAAAGGTTCCAGTTAACTGGTCCCCTGATAAATGAAGGAGAGGATGATTTAGGAATGGGTGATGTGGAAACGGTTAGGACTATAGGACTGTGGTCTGAGAAAGATCATCAAGCCTTGAAATGGAACAGTGTAATGATCCTAGACCTTTGTGTAGGAAAAAGTCTAGAAGGTCGGGATTGCGGTTGGGATCTGTTGGCCAGTATGTGGGAGTATTAGGTGAAAGGATGTTGCTGCGATGGGAATTAAGTGCAGATAGCAGTGTTCGCCCTCGGGAATTTGTGGATCTGGCTCCCCATTGTTGGTGTTTTGCATTTAAATCTGCACCTAGGATGAAATGGTGTCCTAAGGAATTCAGGAAGGAAATTATTTGGGATTCGGAAATGGGTATTTTAGGCGGGGAATATGCCGCAACTAATGTTATTGGGTAAAGGGAAGTTTGGATTATTACGGCAGTGGATTGTAGGAAATTATGGGTTGGTAAGGGAAATAAATGATGGGAGAGAGATCGGTGGATAATTATAGCAGTGCCAGCATGTGCTGTTCCATCAGGATGATCGGTTCTATAAATATTGTAGCCAGGAACGTTGATTTGTCGTTTGTTGGTTAGTCGGGTTTCAGTTATTAGTGCTATGTCGATGTTTTTGTCATGTAATAAGATTGTCAGTTCGTTGATGTGATTTCGAATACCATTCGCATTCCATAGGAGAATGGAGAGGGATTTGGTTGAGGACATTTATGGATTTCTCGGCGGTGGAATGAGGTTGGATATAACATTGGTAAGTAATGAAATAAGAGGGGTGATGAGGGATCTAAATTCAGAGAGGAAAGAAGTTAATAGGCTTGTGAGGTCAGTGGAATTGGAAGGAGGAGGAATGTATGTCTGGGTATTGAACCTAGGTTCAGGGATGGAGGGATATGGGTCTTGAGGTTGATGTGTGAATTCTCGAGGTTGAGGTTCTTGTGGCAGGGCCTGAGATTGAGTGTTTATAGTGTCTCCTTTGAACATCTGAGCATAGGTCACTCTTCCGTTCACTGTTCTAGAGGGTTGTCTTGGTGGCCTGGATGTCCCTTCTTCTCTAGGAGTTGCGTACATTCTTGTTTTTAATTCTTTATATGTTTGACAACCCTTGTAGTTGGCAGGGTGCCCTTGGTGGCATAAAGCGCATACTGCAGGTGAAGTTCTAGACTTCCTACATTCTTCTGTTTTGTGTTGCTCACCACACCTCACACATCTAGGAATGTGATGACAATATCTTTTCGTATGGCCATAAGCCTGACAGTTATGGCATTGAACGATGTCGCGCTTGGTGTAAGGCTTTTCCACAACAACGCTGGTGTAATAAAGGCGTGTGACCTTGTAGATGTCTTCGACCTGGGGCGTTCGGTCAAGGTCAACGAAGAATAGTGGGAGCGGTATTTTACTTTTTATTCCAGGCTGTTCTCTATCCTCCTTGAATATGTTCACTATCTGGCGAACATGGAATCCCATACCCACGAGCTCTTCTTTTATAGCATCTGTTGGCGTAGATGGGTGCAGTCTTCTGATAACGACCCTGAGCGCCCTCTCTTGACGCAGTTGATACGTGTGGTAATCAGCCTTGGTGTCAGATAAATATTTTATAATTTTTCTGTAAGTTTCTGGAGTGTCGGGCATTAATTTAGTGTCATTGGTGCGGCTTTGGCATAAATATTTTCCTGAGCCCACTAGGTTATTCAATTGGTGACACATTAACTGAAAGTTTTTAATATTCCTAAGGAATATTGGTGGGGGTTTGGGTTCCCTGGGGGTGGGTGCTGCTTCCATTTCTTCGTTTTGTGTATTTGATAGCACTTGAAATGGGTTCTGAGTGAAAAACGGCGATTCTTCACCAGTCTGAGTTGTCTCATGATTGTTTTGTTGTTGTGAGGTACCAGGTTGGGGATCCACTTCTTCAACAGAGCTCCCTGGTGTGGCTGGTGGAGTATTTCTTTTCGAACGCCTTGTTCTTTTTTTAATAGGAGAACTCATTGTAGTATCGAGGCTCCTGGACCTAGTATTTTTACCCTTGCTCGACATTAGCATATGATAATATCGCATTTCATATTATAAGTGATAGGAAAAATTGTTAAATGAGAAGTGATAACAAATTTTTTTTTTTTAACACGGAAATATATACGCGTGCTTAGAGAGGACTGGTCGGCACAGAACCTCCTCGGACGGAGAGCCAGAGCCCACTGGTGGGATTAGCGATGTTATGGCCGGCCGTTATCAGTAACTAACCTGAGGTCTATTTACACTGTTCACTATTGAGCTGTAAATAAGTGATTACTCACCTTATTCTTTTGTTCAGTAACAAACTTAATTGTTAATATAACAGGTAACACTGTTGTTTCGCATTAAAGTTGAACACTGCCACTATTAATGAAGAATTTTGTAAGAGATGACCTGACGTATGTTTAACTTAGGCTAACGCATGCGCAGAACTAAAAGAGCGAAATTATATTGAAATGCAAGATTCCTTATGGATGATGAAGTAGGCGTTATTCTGGCGTAGGAGTAGATTTCTGAGTACAATAATAAGTTGAAACAATATTACCTATAAATAACAGTAATAATAATCATAGTATTATCTTAAAAATCAAATATTTTTTCATTGTTATCTTTGCCTATATCAAAATCTCTCATTTAGGAGCTGCATACCCCGACAAGCTGGCCTACACCTCGACCGCCGAACGGAGAGCAGAAGAAGGAGTCCGTACCCCGGTACTTCAGTACGCCCATCCGGACCTCGGGGTACAGACCGCCAAACCCGTCCAGGAACCGCAAGTCAACGAGCACTTCCAGAGGGACCAGGCACTCGCTTACTTCGCCCACGACATACACTCTGACAGGTACAGAAATTAATATGTCCTTCATCTTGCGTCGCATGAGTAATTGTTCTTGTAGCAAACTTCTCTTCGTAGTAACAATCAATAATAAAATACTAACCTTTGAACAAAATCTGTGACTTCTTTTGTTTTAGTATATGTTATTTAAATGGCATTTAACTGTAATGTTACTATTTGAGCTAATAATGCTATCATCGAGTTACTTTAGAGGATCTAGCCATTTCCCTCCGTTTGATGCCTGCTCCTCAAACATTTTATTTGCACTGTGCCAATTTTTTCCTGTTCCTTCTGTGTCTACAGTTAGTAAATTTATTATTTGTAAATATTTCTGTTATTTATTTATTCTTCCCTTCCTTGCCTTTCGGCTACACGGGATTTTGCAGGGATGGTATATCACAACGTGTATGTCATTCCTGCTATTAAACGGCAAGTACTTGATCGATTTCATTTTGTTTTTCAAAACTCATCTTTTCTAAAAATTTTATTTTCACAATTTCAGTTTGCCAGCCTTCCATTTGCAGGTCCTCTTCTTCCCAGATTAAAGTGGGAGGGCTCCAGAGCAGTTTACAAAATCTTTGTAATACGGGTAGTTCTGCTCCGCCATTAACTGGCGAAATTCATCCTCCGTGAGGCCATAGACTCCAATTTTTTTCATCATTTCGGCCCTTAGTCCATCAAAGGCGGTGCAGTTGACTATGACATGCTCAGCAGTCTCCGGTACTCCGCAAGTGGGGCATAGGGGATATATGCCTTTTCCAAAACTAAATAACTTAGATCAGAAACCGCCATGCCCTGTAAGGAATTGAGAGACCCAGTAATCCGGGAGAACCCACTTCGCATCCAAGCGACTTCGGACAGTGGGGAAATATTTTCTTAAAGTTGCTCCTTTCAAGGTAGTTACCCACCGCCGATTCCAATCAACTGTAGAATCCTCCCGAATATTCCTTTTCCATTGTCTTGGGTCTTCTGCAATCCTCATCCGGATATTCTCCGGAAGATCTGCTGAGCCTTCTCTTTTTAACTTATATATCAATGAGTCTTCTCGCAGGAGAAGTTCGAGAGGTACCCCTCCTGCTAAGATCTGCACCGCCTCGTGAGACACACTTCGGTATGACTTGGTGACAGGCAACAGAGCCGTACGTTGAATTGTTTATTTGTTATTTGTTGTTGAATTATTTCTGTTATTTATCAAAATAGATATTATTCCGTTAAAAAAATTTAAAATATTTTCGATATTGTTAACCCAGCTTGACTAACCACCCTTAACCCCTTTCCCGATCACTTGTCGCACCGCACCCGACCCTCAGCACTGACTCAAGTCTGTTGATTAACGACAGGTATGTTGATGCTGCCAGGAGCCCTTACGCCTTCGAGCCGGGCCTAGAAGAGGAGGCGCGCCTGGAGGTCTTCGGCCAGAGGTCCAACTCCGGCAAGAGGCAGCCCTCGAGCTACGCAGGCCCCAACCACATCGCGCCCTACGGCAAGTATGCGTACAAGACCGTCCGCGAGAAGCCATTTTGGGAAAAGGTAAGCCATATCATTTAATATATATATATATATATATATATATATACGTTTATATCCAGGAATATAATTTCGAAAAAATCATATTGTAAAAACTAATTATTTCTCTACGGTTAAGGCAAATAAACTTCCATTACTCTTTAGTCTTTTTTAATCACATCTATAACATCTGACGTTTCGGGACGATTTTCCCATCCTCAGAGAATCCTTTATGTTTACTTGACTTTGTAATGTGGTACCAATTGTCAAAAATTACAATAATTGTCATATTTATTTAAATTTAAAATATAATGTATTAATTAAATATTTAAATATAACTACACTGAGTTAGGGTGGCTCTTCTCCTCCTTAAGAAGACAATATTTCCTAGGCACATTCCTTTATCAAATCATTACCGATCATCGTCCTTCTTATGCCTATATCCTTCTTCAATTTAAGTCCTCAATCCATTCCCTCACTACAAGATCTCGACCCTCTGACCTATACATCCCTTCTCATAGATCTGCCTCATTCCAAAACTCTTTTATAGCCCGCTCTGTCAACTTTTGGAATTCCTTCCCGATCAAAATTCGGCCTCCCCCCCCTGCCTATACACATTCAAAAACCTCCTATTCCAGTTCCTGTTCCAAAAACAGTCAGATACCAGCTAACTATTAACACTATATATGTATTGTGTAGCAATCATATAATCATAATACTTGGTAAGACATAGTACATGCTTTTCTTACTATCGACGTAGGAATTTCAATACATATTTTTTTCTAACATTTCTTTATATTCAATTATAATTAATTTTTTTTTATATATATATACAAGTAAAGTTTTTTTATAAAATGAACTTATTCTATATCTCTATTTCGTTCTTCATTTCTCAAAGTGTATGTCTATGTTGTTCAACCCTTATATATAGTTTTGTTCATAGTTGTAAATACTCTGTACACAATTTTATCTGTATTGTATATAGCTTGTTCATCTAAGGTTTTCTTTATTTTTTATTTTATTTTATCAATTTTATTTATTGTTTCAAACTTTTATTCCAGTAATATTCTATTCTTTTGTACAATTTTTTTTATTCTAAACGGACTTAGTCCCAGAATAAAGTTTTTTTTCTATCTATCTATAATACTTTTTGGTGTTACACATTCATTTTCTGTACATCATCACACCAACCAACATCCATTACTATGGAACTGCAGGTAGCCAGATGTTGGTTGGTGCGATAATGGACAGAAAATGAAAGTGTAATACCAAAAAGGATTATATTTAAATAAATATGACAATTATTGTAATTTTTGACAATTGGTGCCACCAAATCAAGTAAAAATAAAGATTCTCTGAGAATGGGAAAATTGTTCCGAAACGTCAGATGTACTAGATATGATTAAAAAAAGACTAAAGAAAATTGGAAGTTTATTTATCTTAACCTTAGAAAAAAATATTAAACGAAGGTTCCTAAAAAAATAAAAATTTATTTGTGATTTATTAGTTTAATTTCATATTTTATTTCTTTCTGCTCTTATTTCGATAGTAACAAAACTATTCATTGCAGTTGCAGACTACAAAATGTCACTATGCACTAACAATAGAGATATGCTATTATTCGAATTCATTTCTTTAAATTTTATTGGTTAATTACAAATAAATAGTTTTTCTTAAATGAAAAATATTTCATATATGCTTCGATTACTAAATTTGAGAAATTTTGTTTATTTGTATTTAATCAGTAAAATTAAAACCGTATAAGAACATTGACATATTTAGTTTTCTGTGCATGGACACATACACACACACAAATATATATATATATATATATATATATATATATATATATATATATATATATAATATATATATATATATATATATATATATAAAATTGCAAATCGTTTCAAGTTCCTTTTCTAATTTTCTAATACAATTACTGTTGTAGGTGAAAGAGCATATGGAATACGGATACGAAACGATGTCGAACCTGGCGAGACCCGTGGTGGAACCCTTGGTAGAGGCGACCCACAAGATCTCCGAGAACCTGGGTTTGGTACCCGGGACGAGGCACCTCAGCGAGAAGTTGGGAGTGTCTTCCTCCAGCGGAGTCCTCATACCTGCCCTGGGACTGGTCGCTGGTGGGGCGGCCCTAGGTCTTGGGGCCGTGGCAGTTGGCAGGTAATTAATTATATATATATATATATATATATATATATATATATATATATAAACATTAACATTAACATTCTCGAGTCTAACGACGCAGGTTCGAATCCGGCCTGGGCGGATGAAATTCATTTCGTGGCGAATCTTGACTATTCTACTCTGGTTAGAATAGGTTTGATAGTACCTCTAGAACAACCTCTGTATGCTAAAAATGGCGAGGTAGATGTATCGATAAAAAAAATCTATAATATGAATAATTATTTAATTTTATTAAGATTTATAATGAAATTTAATATTTATTTTGAAGTGGTTTCGGTTAGGAGTGGTTAGTTTTTCCCATGCCCGAGGCGTAAAAAAACCACTGGGGGCTCATCAGCACCCGATAAATAAAATAACAATACTATTAAAATATTTAGCTGGTGGGTTAAACGTCAAGATTCATTTTCCGGGGCGTCCAAGAAATGAAAATTATCCAACACAGGTGGGAATCGAAACCGCATTCAAAACCGGGCACTCTGGAAATCACGCCCAAGCGTGCTCGACCTGCACCTAATCTAAATATATTTATATATATATTTTTAATTTATTTTTTTATTTATTGAAAATATTACAATCTGTCTCAAGGACATTTATAATAATGTTCACAGATCACATTTCCACTCTATGTACAATAAATAAAATAAATTATACAGAAAAAATAATATATATACAATAAATAAGAATAAAATAACCTAAAAATAAATGAATAAAAAGAACACATACATAAATATATATTTAAATCTAAAAAAAAATAAAAATGTGTTGAATAGAAAATAATAGTAAATAACTAATATCACATTGCCGTGGCGTAAAATGATGGATTCCGGTTTCGATGTAAATCAAATATTTATTTTGATGTTGTTTTTTTTTTTCAAAACTAGAACTTTTTCCATACCAATTTTTCAAATTAAGGTTTTTACGAAACATATCATTTTTTAAATACTTTTATTTAAAGGTTCTGTTGAAGTAATTTATTTGCCCAAAAAGTCGATCTAAAAAATTACTTTTATTTGATTGTTATCATAGATGTAAATCTATTTTATTATCATTCAGTTTCAATCTATTATTTTATTTATCTTGTACATATTTATATTATCTATTTATCTTATTTGTTTTATCTTTTTATTTATCTATTTTTTTTCACTTTCGTATTTATATTTATTTTCCTTTCTTATGTACATGTTGTATGAATGAATACTATAGCCCTAGTACCAATGCCCTTCAGAATGGCAGACTGCATTAATACTCAATAAAATCATTAAATAACTATTTGATTGTTTACAACTCTAAAAATCGACACGCTAGATTGAAGTAATTCATTCAAGGTAAATTACATCTGTAATCTAAGTCGTGTAATGAATTCATCAATATTTTACTTTCACTTACGTATATAAGTAATATATAGTAAAGGTAAGTATTGCGATCGTGAAAATTTTCGAATCTCAATTTTTAACGGAAATACGTTTTGAGGTCCCCTGAGTCCAAATAACGAAGTATCGCAAAATGGTCTGTGTCTGTGTTAACTGTCTAGCTCATAAACGAAAAGTCGTACGAAATTGATATTAATTATTTAAGGTTTGTATATGTGACATAAACTTTTTCGTTAAAATCGGCTAACCGGAAGTGCCACTTTATATAAACGCTGAAACACATTTTTACAATTTTCTCAAAAACGGTTTTAACGATTTTGATCAAACTCGGTGTATCATTGTATAATTAAGTGGTCTTTAATATCATTTAGGTCTTATCCCCGTTGATGTCACTTTACATGGCTTAAATGCCCAATGTTCATATATGTCTTCCTTTAAAGCACCTTTAATATAGTTTATTTTAAAAAGTTAATCATTTCGCATTATTCTGAATTACTAAAAAATGCTACATATAACTTTTGAAAGAATTTGATAAGTTAATAGAGAAGAAAAACAAAAAAGCAGGAACAACCTGCGTTGCTATAGACTGTAGCGCCTAAACGAATGTCCGATTCATGAACTTTGCTAAAGTCATTTTCTCGATACCCTTTAAATTTATCTATATAACATACTTCAACGAAAAGAAGCTGGAAAAAGTTACGAGGGATGGTAAAATTAAATTCAGAATAACTCAAAAAGTATACACTTTTTTGTCGATATTGTGATAAGATGTTTCAAAGGTTTTTAAATTTTCTAAAAAATGAAAGAAGTTTCATCGAAATCAAAACACTATTAGTAGAGATATCGCGATTTACAAATATTTGTGGTTTATTTTGAAAATAATTTTTAAATGAAATTCTGTTGAACATGCGGTCGACTCCTTAATGTAAACCTCATCACATTTCTAACTGGGATATATAAATTTAGTTATATAATTATAGAAATTTTGGATTCCCATCTTCTAGGACTAATAAGTTCAACTGGAAAGCGACAGGACTCTAGTTTGTAAGTGTTACGGAGCGATTTCTACCTGCTGGAGCTGGAGGTGACCTTTTTGAAAATGATTCGGCGAACCTCATCTAGTCGTTTCGTAACGGATCGGAATTTCAACTATCTTCCCACCAAGAGAAACAACTTTCCTTTTTCATCGGCCAAAAAAAAAGTTACAACCTTCTGTGGATGGTATGAACAATATCGGACGTCAAGAATAAGATCGGAGACTGGGAAGGGTGCAGAACTAGTTTGCGACTGGACTCATCCAATAATAAATCCGTTTTATTTGGGTTTCGATTCAAGATTTTAACAAGTTGCATAGGCTCGATTTCATTAGAACAACCACCGCTATCTTAACGCTTTCCAAACTTATGTATTCTGTTTAAAAAATATCTGGTGTGTCCACTCACACGACTTTCCTACCTATTTCAGAAAAGTGTTTATATCTTTACATATGTTTATGAAGAAAAAAAAAAGAATTGAACTAGATACACTTTCCTGAAAATTGATCAAACATAAGATTTGAGTACGATTTATTTGATAAACTAAAGCAATGTAAACCGGCTTAAGGTAGATCAGTGTAAAAATTTCAATACTTCCTAATATTGCTGATCAAAAACTTTTTGCCATTGCTTAGTATTGTCAAACAATAATTTATGTTAAAAGAAGAGGAAATACTGAAGATTGTGTGATGAAGGCAACAACAGATTTTCTTACTTTCACTTAGTCATCTTTATTCTCTCATTCACCCCTTTCTGACACCAGGATATGAAACCGTAATCTTACATTTGAAATTGAATGGCTGTAACTACGTTAATAGTTGTCCAAAATGAACGATTTTTATATAGTTTTGTAAGGAATTTCATTACCTTTCAAACGACAGAATAATGGCTAAAAATGTGTTTTACGGAATCAGGCGGCTCTGAAACGTATAGATCCGTCGAAAACCGCATGTCGGAAATTTGACCCGATTGCAATACTTTCCTTACCTAGTATAGGTTGGAAAGTAAAAATTGATCTGTGTGCTTTAGATCACACGATAGAAGTGAAAACATCAACAAGGAGATATTAATAATATGAAATATGAATTATAAATAATAGCTCGTTGTAAAAAGGATGAAATACTGAACAATTTCCTCGCTTACAGTATGCAAGTCCAATTTTTATTTTTTGATATATTTTAATCCGTATCTTCAATAAAACTCGTTATCATTTGACTTTCGTCACTATTTTTTTATTTTCGCCTCTCTAACACGGCGTCGCGTTAAGATAGAATTTTGAATCATAGCCTATTACAGAAGGAATGAAATACTGAACAATTTCCTCGCTTACATTATGCAGGTCCAATTTTTATTTTTTGAAATATTTTAATCCGTATTTTCCATAAAAATCTGTTGCTGCAAAAATGGCGATACTACTGGTGATATCGATATAGATGGTAATATGTTTGAACAGGTAGATAAATTTTGGTATCTAGGTTCTACGATAACTAGAAAAAACGAAATTGAAGAAGAGATTAAGGTTAGACTGAAGGCGGGAAATGCTTGTTATTTTTCTGTGACAAAACTACTTAATTCGCGCCTCTTGTCCCGGAACTTAAAAACTAGAATCTATAAAACAATTATCTTGCCTACAGTTCTTTATGGATGCGAAACTTGGCCGCTTACACTAAGGGATGAACAGCGTCTTAAGGTTTTTGAAAATAAAGTATTGCGTAGAATATTCGGACCGAAGAAGGATGAGTTAACCGGAGAGTTCAGACGGTTACACAACGCCGAATTGCGTGAGCTGTATCCGGGTAATATAATTGAGGTAATTTCATCGCGGCGAATCAAATGGGCTTGTAAAGTTGTTGGGCTTAGTAACGAGAGAATTCCTAAAAGGTTAATATTTGCTGTGCCGAATGGTAAGCGTCCGAGGGGTAGACCGAAGCGAAGGTGGAAAGATTGCATTAAAGCCGATCTGAAGGGACTGGGTTTGGACGGCGAGCGGTGGAGGGAGGTGTGTAATAGGCGATTGGTGGTGTCGGCATCGTACCTTCGGGTTCGCTAAGCCTTTTATTATTATTATTATTATCTTCCATAAAACTCTAAAGTTATAATTTGGTTTTCGACTCTATTTTTTACCTTTTCGCCTCTCTTCGGTGTCGCGTGTTATCATATTATTTTAAATAATAACTGATTATATTTAATTATTTATTTATTTAGACATATAATAATCTGCCTCGTGGGCAATAATTATAGTGATATATGAACACATTCACACCAAACTGATTTCAAAGAGAATGTAATGATGGACATTTCCCTCGCTTACGTAGATCAGATTTTTAGTTTTTGAGATATTTTAATCTATATGAAAAAACACTTCAATTAGACAAATCCAACCGACACTACCTAATTTCAAGCTCAATCTAATTCACTCTCGACAAAAAAGTGCAAAACGCGCCCAAAGAAATCTTCACTTTAAAAATCTGGTGCGGTGCGCTTCACACAACATTCATTTACCACCATTATTTTAGGAGAAATAGATATTTCCAGACAAAGGAAAGAGAAACTAAAAATCAAAGAAGGTAAAAAATATTATCATATATTCTTCACAGCCATATAATGTATTATGATTATATTTCTTTCGCTAATAATTGCTTTTGACGATTGTATATTTCAATTATTCACTTGTATATCATAATAAATAATCCAATGCCAAGAAATATTTTTGGTCCAACATAAGTGCCACTGATAATGAAGGCCGTTACATTAAAAAGAAAACGTGAAACTTCAAATTTTGAGAGGGGGTTAAGTTTTTGAATTTTTTGGTCGATCACAATGGTTGATTATTTAAAAAAATTAACCAACAATATTTTAAAATCGCGATATCTCTACTGATAGTGCTTCGATTTCGATGAAACTTCTTTCATTTTTTAGGAAATTTAAAAACCTCTGAAACATCTTATCACAATATCGACAAAAAAGTGAATACTTTTTGAGTTATTCTGAATTAAATTTGACCATCCCTCGTAACTTTTTTCCAGCTTCTTTTCGTTGAAGTATGTTATATAGATAAATTTAAAGGGCGACAAGAAAATGACTTTAGCGAAGTTTCATTGAAATCGGTACATTCGTTGAGGAGCCACAGTCTATAGCAACGCAGGTTTTTCGGCCGCCATTTTGAAAGTAAAAGGCGGTTAGTAATGTCGATGAAGGTGGATCATCCCCGGGTGACCCCTGATTTTATATCCAAATTTGAAAAAAATCGGTCCAGTAGTTTCGGAGAAAATGCGGGGACGGCGGATGGACAAAAAATTTTTCATTCGTTTTTCGAATCCTACGCATCCTGAAACGTGAAACCTCAAATTTTGAGAGAGGGTTAAGTTTTTGAATTTTTCGGTCGATCACAATGGTTGATTATTGAAAATAATAAACCAACATGATAAAAATTTCTTCATTTATTAAACATCCTAATCCACTTGAACAAACATTACTAACAGACACATTACTGCATACTCCGAGAAGGAGACTTAAACGTCTCTGCTACAATAAGAACATCAGGAGTGCCTTCACTGGATGGTTTTCCCTATCAAGAATTCACATTAATTCCGAAGAAGTTTACCATTGAAGATAACATTTACAAAATATGCCAAAAGGCATTTATAATTGTTTTCTATAATTTAATTTATTAATATTATTTTAAGTCAACATGAATAATACTCAGTTTCTAATTGTGTTTCCTACAGGTTCCTAGAAGTAGACATGTTGAAGAGGAGCGCTAGTGACGATCCTGAACTTCGACGAGCCTTGGAAGGAGCCACCAGGACGAAGAGGAGCACCGAAGAGGAACTGCAAGAAGTCGAGAACCCCAGTGGAGTTACTCCGACCGCAGGAGATCCTGCCGACTGGGGCAGCACACCATGCGCCAAGAGGGTCTTCTGCAACGTCATCACCGCCAGGTCGCAGGACGACATCACCTTCATGGAGAAGAAGATGTCCACCTACCTCAACATGTGAGTTAACCTCGTTATTAGATAATCCAGGAGTCGCCGATCATATTCTCCCTTGAGGTCCCAATAGTACTCGATCGCTATTGGATGGTTGGGATGTATTAACCCCTCCCCCCCTCCCTCCCGATGTTTAAAATACTCTTACTGACCTCTGGTAATCTTCAGTCAAGCAGGTTAGTAGACAACGCTTGTTTTGCATATGCGTTAGTCCGCTCGGCCACCCCGCCCCCATATATAGCCGAAGTATAAAATTTAGACTTACTCTTTAATTGGTTCAAAAATCCAAACTGTTCGAAAAAACTAGTAAAAATTAATTTTGACAATATAATTTTCAACTACTTCGCTCAAATTCGAGCTGATTGGTCCACAGTTAGCGAATGTTTCAACTCTTTCGAGGTATGTAATCAGCAAAAGCATTGGAGTTCCTTCATGGGTATGCGACTCGTGACGCCATGTTGAAACGAAGACTTTCACGTTCTAGCAGTAAGAACATCGAACGAATCGGTAAACTGAATTCCAGATGTGAGATCGTGAACTACTGTGAAACTCTGGCTGCCTGTAGTCAGTGCATTATAGTCTTTAAGGAAGTTTTAGACCTTAAACTACCTCAGGTAGTCAAGCCACAGAGGATAATTTAGATAATGTACTTTTATTGCATTTAAATGTTTAAAATATTTTATTCAAAATAATGTCCATTGCTAGCAATACACTTTTACCATCTCTTTGGAAATTAAACTGTTCCTCTTTTGGGGCGAATCTATAATTAAGCCAATTTTTAAAGTTTTAATAAGAAGTAAAACGCTGCTGATCAATCGTGTCTCCATAGAAATAATTAGTAGTCGAACGGGGCCAAGTCTGATGAGTAAGGCTGATGCGCTAATAATTCCCAACTGAACGCTGATGATGCAGCATCATTAGTAATTAAAATCACTTTGTGTTGTATTTTTTGTTCTGGACGTTTTTAACGCAATAATACATTCATATCGCTTATTTGTAGACGAAACCGTTTAGTATTAGAGTCAAGTTTTAGTAGATTATAATAGATCTCGCGCACAGTGGGACAAAACCCTCGATTCTCTATGTATGGGGTTTTTACCCAGATAATTCCTTAAAATTATTTCAATGGGGTTTATACTTATTGTACAGAATCGAATGGTAAAGTATGTTTAGTGGCAGGAGAAACCTGATTTGTTTTTATTAACTTCTTCTTCTTGATCTTGTTCAACATAAACCAATTTTAAATCCACCAAATCAAAAAAAAAAAAATGTGGTGTGTCCACTCACACGACTTTCCTACTAATTTTAGAAAAAGTTTTTTTTATCTTTACATATGTCCATTAGGAAACAAAAAAAAATGAATTAGATATATTTTCCTGAAAATTGATCAAAGAAAAGATTTGATTACGATTTATTTGATAAACTAAAGCAATGTAAAACGGCTTAAGGTAGATCAGTGTAAAAATTTCAATACCCTCTAATATTGATAATCAAAAACGTTTCGATATAGCCTGATTTTGTCGCACAATAATTTCTGTTAAAAAGTAGAGGAAATAGAGAACCTGTGGGATGAGGAGACCAGATTTTCATACTTTCACTTTAGTTTTCTTTTTTCTCTCTCGTTCAGCCTTTCCGACACCAGGATATGCACCCGTAATATTACATTAGAAATTAAATAGCTGTAACTTCGTTAATAGTTGTTCTAAATGAACGATTTGTATGTAGTTTTGTATTTCATTACCTTAAAAAAAAAAACAGGCTAGACAGACAAACAGACCAATCCCTAAAAATGTGTTTTTCGGACTCAGGAGGCGCTGAAACGTATGGATACGTCGAAAACCGCATATCGGAAATTTGACCCGATCGCTATACTTTGCGACTTACCTAGTATAGGTAGGATAGTAAAAAATTAAAACATTAGTAGAAAATACAATACGCAATATCATCGCTAATACTGGTTCGATTTCAATGATTTTTTTGTACGCAATTTAATTACCTTTCAACAATTATATTATAAATTTTACCATAGAATAGTACTTAGCTAGTAGCCCAAAAATTTCTTATAACTTTTCCAATTTCCGGAATTTAGTACATGTACGAAAATGAAAGAAAGTTTGAACATATAGTAAGTTAATCAAATTGTTAGAGCCGTTTTTTTTCTGTAGAAAAATATGTTTTCCACTCATTGAGCAGGGAGCACTCAATTTTGTGTCACAGGCATCAGTAGTTAAAACCATACAAACTAAAAAAAAGAAGCAGCAAAAACGGTTCACTATTTCCCGTGAAAATCTTGGCACAGACAGACAGACTAATGGCTAAAAATGTGTTTTTCGGACTGAGGGGGCTCTGAAACGTATAGACCAGTCGAAAACTGCATATTAAAAATTTGAGCCGATCGCAATACTTTCCTTACCTAGTATAGGTAGCAAAGTAAAAAACGATAAATTTTAAAACATCTGAACTTTTAACATATAATTCTTTGGAATCTCTTGAAAACATATTATAATATAATACAAAGCCTAAAGAACATGTATGTACAAATTTTAAAGTCATTATAGAAAAGCGTCGATGTCAGGAGTTTTGCCTGACTCGTCTTGCTGTTCCTGTGTTTCATTTTCTTCATTTTTTTAATATCAAAATCACCACTTTTGAATTTTTTTAAACCAGTCAAAGTACTAATATTTGGTAAAAGTATATTATCAAAGAGAAATTCCTATAAATACAACAAGGTTTCATTGCGAAACACTGAACATTCGGATAAACGGTAAAAAATGATATGCCTTTCACAAAGATCCAACATAAAACGCATCTGGAAACTTACTGATTCTGAAGTTTTTTTAACCTCCTGCACGAATATAAATCTCCGGTAGCGAATAAGAAAAAATGGAGAAAACGTGTAACTTTATAATTACTTTTAGAAAGAAATGAGACTCAATAACGTTTTATAGTTTATTATTATAAAGATTATATTGCTTTTTTTAAAGTTAGTAACTTTAGTAAAAAAAATATTAATTATTACTATGTATTTCCTGTATTTTCATTGTTTTATTATCTTCGCTTCAATCTATTTGCTATATTCATTATAGTCCGTGGTAGAGACCCTTTCTCTTTTTATCAAATTATTATTATTTATCTTACACTTCGTCAATGGAGTCCATCTTATCGTAATCTACAACTGTTTATCAACAAAAATTCTCAGATATAATTGAATTTTCTTCTCATTGAATTAATTAATTTAATGAACTTTATCCGACGGGTCTGTAATCTACCACCTATATTAGTCCGTGGTACAAACCCTTTTTTATGAAATTATTAACATCCGCCTGAAGCTTTGTAAATATCTTCATCTCATCGTGACCTACAGATATTTTATTTACGAAAATTCTCGGAATCGAGCCGTTTTCAATCTGGTCGTCGGCAAACTCTGTCCATTTAATTAGGTACTAAAAACTCGTAAAAATCCATTTGCTTTCCACTTGAATCGTAGGATAACGTGAGGAAAAAGTCAAGAAAAAAGGTGGCCTTCAAAAATATTGAGCCGTTTGACGTGACCTACACATTTTGGGGGTGTAGGTCACGCTAAACGACTCAATATTTTTGCAGGTTACCTTTTTTTTATTGATTTTGTTATAAAATTACCTTACAATCTGTTCGGGTTAGGGTCAATATATAACTAACCGTTATATCTGATCCCTAGGTTCGAAATAGAATAAATTTGAGTACTCTATATTTGAAATAAACTCACTTCTATTTCAATACAAACTTTACGCAGAGATTTTAGACCTTTTTGACTTTTTTTAACAACAATTACAATTAAACACAAATGCATATTTCAACAATATGTGAAACTAGATAGATAGATATTTTATTTGTTTTTGGGGAGTTCCCCATACAAATAGAGCCTAGCTTGGCTATTGTACAATAATATGGTTTTACAAATTTACATACCATTACATATCATTTAAATATAAATAAACTTTACAATATTTTCCGTTTATAATGGGTTTTACAAAGCATGAAAAACAATAAAAGTTAAAAACATAAAACGATTACTGCATAATCATAGTTAAATGAACCTGTTACTATGATAAAACAATAAAAAAGAAAAATATGTATATATATATAAACAAAATATTACTTTTTACATAAACTAAAAATAAACACTTAATATAACATGGGATGGGCTATGATCAACAATTTTGTGAATGTACTTTGTGTACTCCCATCATATAATTGTAAACTTTGTTTACTTTATCTATACAGTCGATATTCAATATAGTTTCGATGTTGTGGTTATCAGAAGATTCTGAGATGAAGTTTAGGAGGAATTTTTGTCTATATTCATTGTATGCTGGGCAGTGAAGGAGAATATGATGTAGACTATTGTGGATAAATTGAATGCATAATATACAAATTTCTTGAGACTCAATCGAAAAAGTTGTGGTTTTTGCATAAATTCTGATTTGTTCTGGATTTGCAACTCTTAATTGACTAAAACATCTCAATTTCTTTACATGAACTTTAAATGTAAGGTACCCTTCGGGATCGGGAGCATTGTAACTGCATAACATTCTGTATAAAGGGTAGTTAGTTGAGTTTAAAGTTCTTTGTATGTCGGCTGAGAAATAATAGTTGTGTGCTTTTTCAAGGATGTCGTCTTTGTATCGAAGAAGTCCGTTTGTGCGGTGAACAGAAAGCTCTTCTGCAATATGTGAAACTATAAAATATTTATAAAATAAATATCACTTTTGATTGAATCTCTAACACAATCCAAGCGGAAAGCAAATGGGTATTAACGAGTTTTTAGTACTTAATTAAATAGATTTAGGTTATTTTATTTTATTAGGTTATTTTATTTTATTGTCTATTGTATATACTTTGATTATTATTTTGTTCTATTTATTTTATTTTTTTGTACATATGGCGTGAATGTCATCCTACCTCACTATAACCAATGTCCAACAGACAGATTGTTATAATACTCAATAAAGAAATTAAAAAAAAAA